CCCCAAAACCCCAAAACCCCAAAACCCCATCATAGAATATTTTGAATCGATTTTTATTTAAACATAATTATGTAATTAAAATATAAATAGTTTTTAGGATTTGATATTTATAAGGGTTTATGCAGTTCTTATTTTCAATAAGAGGAACAGCTAACAAAACTACTTTACAGCGCTATCCTCTAAGGTTTGATATCAATAATCTATTTAATGAATATACATCAGCCGAACTTATTCTCAATTTTTTGAAGATTTTTAAGGCTCAGGCTTAGATTCTAGTTCTCTATCAGTTTACTATTTGCTCTCACTAGATGATTCAGATACTTGATTGATTAGTTGAGATCTAAAGGTAATTTTAACTTAACTTGGATCAACATTAACATCACTGTCTTCCACCTTAAATTCTTCAATGTTTGATTCCTCATCTATAGGCTCACTTTCACAGAACTAAGGCTATTATAGCTGTTAAGTATTGAAAGTTTGTTTTTATTGCTATTAACTCACCAATAAGTTGATAGGTGAATTGGCAACAGTCTCAGCTTCATTGTTAGATGGAGAACTATGAGATTAATTACTACTTTAATTGGTAGAAGCAAAGATATTGCTTGGATTTATTAGAATTTAAAATTCACTCACAGATGTACTTCTGCAATGGATCAAGATTTTGTCTTAATCTTGAATGTGATGAGGCAGTTTAATTTCTATTAGAAGACTTTAGTTGCAGCAAGGACATATTGGAGTGCCAGGCTCAACAGAATTTGCAGTCCAAATTCGATTCTTAGCCCATTCAAGTATACACTAAGAGTGGAATATGTGCTAGCATTGAGTAACTCTAATTTCATCTTCACCTTGGAATTACTCAAAGCATATTATACATTCCTTTTACTCGAAATGATTATCAGTTAACTCACTAAATTTGCACAGCTTAACCATGCTTTTGACTTTTTCGAAGTTTGATTAACGAATTTTATCATTTTTCTGAGGACTTTCGGGTCCTAATGCTTAGGTATTTTAAGCTTAATTTTATATGTTTTACCTTTAAAGTCTTCCTAGAGCGTTTTGTTTCATGATTTGTACTACTTTAAGAATTATAAGCACAAAAATTATGATCATGACACTGGGCAAAACCACTATCATTACAATGGCGTAAACTGGAATGCTTTATTCTTCTTAAGTTGAAGGTTTAGATATTATAGTGGTGATATCTGCTTTTAGATCCTGATTAACAACTTTAGTCTATCCGGTTTCACCTTTACCAATATCTGAAATGTTTTGGGGTATTTTATCAGCAAATTTATTGATAATAGAACTGATAGGTGTACTAAATAAATCTTTAGTAAAATCCTAGGTTCTGGATATTCTAATTTGATTGTTGGCACAGAGATAATTCAGTTTGCTTAATTAAGCTTAAGAAAGCCCCTTAAGATCTTAGGTATTGCAAGAAGTGCAAGAGGGTGAGTTGAAGGAAAGGGAAAAACTATTAGGCTAGCATTGCTTGCAAGTGTCTCCACTTTTGAACTGATCGTAGAAGCACATTTAGTACATGTTAACTCTACTTTATTTATTTTTTTGAGTAATGAGCAGTTAGTTGCTATTAATGCCTTCTGCATTGAAAAGTGAAGAATCAGAGTAAATGAGTTAGATACTGCCAGTATGTGGCAATAACTTTGAATTATCTGCAAATATACCCTCTACCATGTAGAGTTAGTAGGTTATCTATTTTTAATTAAAGAGGAATGGACCTTATTCCAAAGTAGCCAAATAGCAAATGTAGTAATGATTTAATCTAGAAATAACGAACACCTCGGTATTTTCCAAGTTTAGATTAAGATCAAATTAGGTGAAATATAAGCTGGCAAATATACCTGGATTTGTAAGTTGAATCTGATAGTTTTTAGAGTTCATGTTTTTTGTTTAATAAACTCTGATTTCGTTTTGAGAAGTGCATTGAACTATTATCAGATGCTCTCTGACAATTATTTCGTCGCCACAGATAGGTACTTCAATTTCCTATGAAATCCTAATCTATTCTGATCCTAAAGATGACGTATTGAATGATAGTATTCTTGAACGTTTTTGGGATCTAACTAGGAAGTAAAAGTAATATATGTCAGATTGATCTCTAAACATGTCAAACTTTACATCCTCACTAGATTCTATCTGAAAGTTCGCTAGCTCATATGAAAATTGGGAACTAAATGACTTGTATTCTCCTATAAAGTTAAGACCAATTTTAAAGTTATTTTTCCACAGCATATCATTTATACCAATTAGCTAAATTCTAGAATCCTAATAAAATCTTCTCAACTTAACCTAAGTGTCAATCGTAAACTATTGATAACTTGTAGTTTGAGTTTGATTGCCAGCTAGATCATCGTAATAGTTAATGTAGTTAAGCTCAGCATTAAAATTAGGCATTTCTAAACCATATACAACCCCAGATATCAAATATTGACTTAGAATATTCAGACTTCCTCTTCTAGCATAAATATCAGTCACATATTACATATTTAGATCGGAGCTATTGTAGAAATGCAGACCAAGATAATTAATTGGTAAAGTCTCAAATTCAAGCAACGATTTTGAATCAATTATCATGCTCGTTTTATATTATTTGCAACTGACTAAGGTATTCAAGTCTCCTTTTAAAATGCAAAAATCATATTAATTTGAGTCAGTGACATTGTAAAAGTTATTTTGAAGGCTAATTTATTTGAAATCCTTTATTGTTAGCTAGGTATAAATCTGCATTTATATGAAGCTAGCGAATAACAAGAACACTTTAGAGATTTTTATATAGGCTTATATAAGTTCTATCATTTATTTATTCAATTTGTTTAATCTTTTTTTTACTAACTTTATTTTATATACCTCAATATATAACAACACTTTCAATTTGATTTCTCACAATGTTTATATGAAAGCCTATATCTCAATTAATCACATGGGGTTTTGGGGTTTTGGGGTTTTGGGG